CCCTTCCCTGGAGGTATTTGAAAGACCTGTAGCTGTGGTGCTTAGGGACATGGTTTAGTGGCGGCCTTGGCAGCGCTAGGGTAACGGTTGGACTCGATGATCTTAAAGATCTTTTCCAACCTAAACAATTCTATGATTATGTTTGTATTTTCACAGATAAAGCTGAACAAATCAAGGGATGCTAGGTTTTAAATCATCCATATGTGGGGTTTATTAAACTATTTTTAAAAGAAACAATGTAAACAAAATATTTTTCTACTACGAAGTTTCTTGGGGCTCATTACAGCTCTTCTGCGTATAATTTACACTAATCTCGGTGGGTTTTGTGGGTCATTCACAGAGAAATAAGAGACAAATAGTCTTATTACAGGAAAATGAGATAGAAGTACAAAAACACAAAAATTAGCCTTATTCACAAAATAATCAAAACTACTTTCTTTTAATTGATTACGTCACGGGTTTTCGTCTATGAGTTGTCACAGTATCTTGTCCTCCCTGTAACAGCAAATAACAAAGGGGGGTGGTGGTGCAAGAATTATAATCTTAATGAGACTCAGTAAGTAATAAAAAGCTGAGGAATTCCCAATACTGACAATGTCCCCCATTAAAAGTATTTCCCTCCTCTGGAACTTCGCCTTACTTCCACTGAAGTCATGCTGTTCTCCTGAGTGGTAGGCTGCTTCACATGAGTATGTGCTGCTCATAAAGGTTTCTTTCCAAGTGATGATAATAAAAACCCTTAAATATAAACAGTACATATTAATGCTATAAATAATGCCTTGAAAGATTTATACAGAAAAGAAGGGAGTTTTATTCCTGCTCCTCCCTCTACCAAGACAGAGATGGTTTTATCTACAGACCTCAGTCACAATGGCAGTCAGTAACGATTCTACAAAACGAAACTGTAGAAAGATTGATTTCTTGCAGAATTGAGTAATTTAATCTGTTAGCGCTCTAATGTCCTTGTTTCCACAGACATCGCTACTCTGCCATAGTAGCGGCATAATTACGTAGCAAGACCTGATGTTACATGTAATAGTAAAAATGACCTGGATCTCACATTGCCCTTTTGGTTACTTCAATTTAGACTTGCTGCACCAAAGCGTAATGAGTGAGAAGTGCTCCTCAGATGACCAGACCATCCTTCTTCTCAGACCACAGAAAACGCAGACACACGACACTCGTGAATCACATGGAAGGAGCAGAAAAAGCGAAGGCACGCTCTTCACCAACAAACCTGCCCGACACAGCCAGTGCCATCTCTTCTAGAGACCGGTGGGTGCCCACCCAAGGCATTCGTTCAACTGCGGTTTCACACACCCTTCTGCGGATCGAGCGCATCTCCAGGACAAGAATGGATGCTCTGGATGCGATGCACTCATGCAAAAATGATGGTGCAAGTAGGGCTGATGTTGGGTTTGGGGTTTTTCTCCTATTTCTATGTACCTTTCTTTCTTTCTTAATCCATTTCACACTTAATAAGCCACGGGATTCAAAAAGACCAATCGAACCTCAGTTTTGTCCTAAAAACTCGATTCTTCGAGTACTCAGTCCTATTGCAACAGCTTTCATTTTAGCCTGATTTTGAAAGGAAACTACAGTTATGCGGGCTGTGCTGTCTGTACGGAAGCATGCGTATTTATACTACAAAATTCTTCTAGAACTTTTGAATTCAACTCATTTCAATTAAAATGAGAGGTTAACAGCCTGAAAGAAACCAAGTTCCTACAACTTTGATGAAAAAAGGTAGCAGAGAAAAATGCTATTGATACTTTAATGATTTATGCAGAGAGCACGATCAGTATCGGGCATCGGGGAACCCACCTGGGAGAGAACCATCAGGGATGTCTCTTCTGCAAGAAAGGCTTCGTGTGTGCAATCGTTTAGACACAAGAAAGTCCACATGAAACGAGACTTTACTAACCATGCTGTTCAAAGAACTATTTATAATATAATATCCACAAGAGAGCTAGCTTCCCATTTGTTAACGCATTTTTTCTTTGTGGATTTCTTTTTCCTTGCAACTGAATTGTCTGATTCTGAGAGCTATATACACTTCACTAACTTTTTAGACACTGATATGCATTCTCTAACGATTCTCAGGAGTTTTGACTTCATTTCCCTGCATTTTTTTCTTGTGTGTCTGCTTCAGTTCCCTTGGAGGGCAGAACATGCACCACAGTATGCATTTCGATGACTTCTGTGCCCCAGGGGCTCACAGGCTTGCCCATCTCTTTTTACAATAAATGCAAACAAACCATCAGTTAACGGACAGCTGCAACATCCTTCCAAAAGAACAATCTTTAAAAATATTGTTTACTTGCCTGAACATAAGATATCCTCCTACCCTTCAAAATAAGTGACTGATTGATGGGTAGGCAAAAGCATTTGCTTTGACAGAATCAAACTGACATTAGTTTTCATGTTCTCTGCTGTCTGAACAGTATCAAGCTGATCAGATTTGTAATTCTTCTGAAGCACATCAAACCAAGCAAAAGAACTGCAGTCCTTTCCTACACTGGACTCGTTGATTTGTCCAATGTAAGTTAGTGAGTAACAAACTCAACTATGATAAAAATCCGTTGTATAAACTGCTTTTTACAACTCCTGCAATACAGAAATCATCCAGCTCCTTACAACAACTTCATGTGGCAAGAAGATGAGCACAGATCAGAAGAGAGCTGCAACTTACCCAGTTATCATTGTTTTTTAACTTTTTTAACTTTTTAAAATTGGCTGTTGCAGAATGCTAGCTCTGACCAAAGAGTTAACCAAGAAGGCATCAGGCAATAATATTCAAGAAAATATATGGGTTTATATCCAAGTGCAACTGGCAATCATTGACCCTACAAACAGCTTTTCTTATGCAGCTAATTACAGTAGCTTTTATAGTAGGGAGGAAAAAGTTGGAGAGTCTGCATCTAATCTTGCAACAAAGATGACCACAACAACTGTACACCTCAGTTATTTTTGCAGTCACATGCAATTCGAGAACACATGATTAGGTACACTATTCAACCCAATTCCCAAAATCAACAGGAAGAACATACAACTGATTTATACGCATGTTGGATAAGGCCCCGGCTAGACTTTAATGGCCAAGATTGTGATATAGGTTGTGCTCAAGTACCTTACTATTCTCTTTCCAGAAAAGTGAAGCATTTTAAAGTAACGATCTGGCTGAGGACATAAAAGCCATCTGGCAAAACCTTACAACATTTAGATTTGCAGAGAGATACTGATCACGTTTTCTTACGCTGTACATGCATAAGCCGTTTCTTGGGCTTGATACTTGTCAGATGTATCGCGTAGTGTAAGGAGAGAGCCTCTGCATCTTTTCAAGACTTTATCCCCCGCTGATGCATAATTTTTCAACATAGATATTTCAACTGGGAATAGCTCAATTCTGAAAACTATACTTTAAAATACATGTTATTTTGATATTTTAAAGATACTTGTGTTTTATTCTGCTTTATAAAAGTAAAAATTGATCTCCGCATACATTTGAAGTGGTAGAAAATTCTATTTCCTTTCTCTCAGGAAGCTGTTTCGAAATAATATAGAACAGATTTGTAAAACCTGTTTAACCCAGTCTGTTTTCCACTGTGCCTGAAGTACTACATGTGCTCCACATGAAGGACTCATTAAGAAGAGCTTTTGCTACTGTCTCATTAAATAAGCCTCGATGCATAAAATAACATGCAACATATGTATTTGAGACACTCCATATTAGGAAAATTACCAAACTCCTTAAAAACTTAAGAAACTCTCAGATAGTCTACAATCCTCTATGCATTTAATATCTCAAATAGCAAAACTTAAAAATCTTAGCAGTTTGCTTTAGTTGCTTTTCTAGTATACATAAAGAAAGGTATGATCTCATGGTCTGCGTACGAAACTGGAAATCAGAATATCTTACGTAATGATTTGCCAAACCACACTACAGGAACTAACCAAATTGTACCAGTCTTCCCCCAGTACAACAGAGAGAATTTAATTTACACTGAATTGATCAAATCTATTCAGCTAACGAAGAATACATGAGACATTTAGCTGCTGGAAGTGAGTTTTAGAGAGCAGTAAAGTACATGTGTAGCTACATGTTAAAACCAATTGAAACGGCATTGCTAGTTGCTGAGAAACTCATGACTTCAGAACTTTTATTACTGGACAACTTATCTAGTCTTGCTAGAGAATGGTATCAGGTAAAATAGAAACCAAAAGACATTAATAATTCTAAGTATCCAATTATCCCTAGGCAAACAGAACTTGCACAACTTAATTTGTAAAAATGATGTATATAATTTGTAACATTATACTGAAGTAAAACACAGACTAGTGATAAAAAAGCTTATAAGCTGGCCAAGGCCACTGACTCATCAAAAAAAAAGTGCTAAAAGTAGGGAAATTTTAATAGGGAGTTATAACTTACCAGCTTCTAAAATGATGGAAGACTTAAGTCTGTATATATACTGCTCTGACAGTTTAATTGAATCAAGATATCTAAAGATGCACAGACAGTAAAACCAGATAAAGTGCAAAAAGGAATCTGTAAATTATCAAAGAAAGTATTACAATTGGCTCTATCTTAGCTTCTTAATCAATTTAAATTCTCCACTTGGGTGTTTTTATACATTTTAGAGTAAAAACTAACATTCAAAACGACACTTCTAAGTTTTTCCAGGCCCCAAGTGACATGAACTTTTTCTTTAAATCAACAGTCTAGCATTTATAGTCAAATACATGGAGAAGGAAAAGTTAGCAGATGAACACCTAAGGGATATTAAATATGTGGTGTCCTCACATATTCAAATCTGTGTTTGCTATGTTTTTTATAGAAATATCTTCACATAAGCTTTGAAAGCAAAATTAATCATGCTTTCTGGCAGGCCATTATGAAAAACCATGAGAGAAAAAAACCAAAACATTGAAAAACAGGGATTGCAAAACAGAGTCTAACTAGAAGACTATTATTTTAACATGATTTCTTCCCGGCCTCTCATGCTTGCCATACAATTATCACAATTAACTCCACATTCCTTGGAAAAAGTTATCAATACATAAATGTCAAAACATTATCAATTCTTAATGCATGAATTGCCTTCTCCTTCTTGCAAGAGGATAGCTTCTTCTGGCATTTTTTGCAGAAAAGCTTTAACGTTGTTTGTCAAATTAGTCCTTTTATCTTCCATTGGCATCTGCAGTCAACTACTGCTTTGGTCAGAGAGTCCTGTGTTTTCTTTTCATTTTATCTTAAGAGAGGAGGCACAAACTCAGAGAAAAGAGTTGTAAGTTCTGCAGTTTCAAATTCCTTGTTTAGCTCATCCAGCGTTGAATATTCTTTGACTTCAAATGTCTGAAACCTACATTGTAAAAGGGAAACTCATGAATATGCCTAGATTTGTCAGAATGTAATTACCGATTCCGTTACTTTTCTATCCACAACAGTACTAAATTATACCTTTTATGCTGTGACTGTACTTTTGTCTCGCACAGTACACTAATCATTTTCTCTTTGCATTTCTTTCCGCTTGAGTCCACATCTACCTTAGAAGTTTTCTGAAGAATCAAGTACTCCTAAATGACAAAAACGAACAAAATATTAAATGTCATCTAGTATCTTTGAAGTTTAGTAAATTGCAAAAAATCTATACGAAACACAGTTTTCTTCAGAACATAGCAATCAAACCTTGGAAGTGCCCATCCCAAAAAGTGCATGACTGCTTCTATTCATCAGCTTGAAGTTAAGCGCAGTCTTAAGTGATCTGGAGAACATGAGTTTGAAAAGCCAAAACATTCTCCTCCAAGATCACCACAAAAACCTGCCTAATGCAGCGGGAGTTCATAAGTACAGACAAGAAGTTTGAAGCCCAGGCGTGCACTAGGAGCACCACGTGGTCTAAGTCAAGGAAAGAGACCGTTAGGAATGAGCTAGAAATACCTCTCTTATCAATTTCTCGTCACAAATTTTCTGTTTTCTGGGGCATTTGGGAAATACAGGAGACTGAACTTAGGCGTATTACAGTCAGGAAATACAGGGAATACAGGAGTATAATTACAGTGGGAAGCAAAGCAATACAGGCCACAGGTCTACAGGTATCACTGGTTTCTTTCTCATGGAATACTTTCTTTTTCTTAAATACAGAATAAAGTTGTTGGGCCTTCCTACTCTTCTAAAGATCAATCTGCTTCCAAAATTGTTAATCTTAGAAAAACACACACAAAATATTCAGACACATAGGTTTCAGTGGTAAATCAATACAACTAGTCAACATTCATTGTTCCTGCACCTTAATGTTGCTCCTGTCACCCTGAAGAAGAATCAATATTATCTTGCCCATGAACATCAGTCTTCCAGTCAGCCTTAGATCTGAAGCCCATTTTTCCACAGTTTTGACGTATTTTGCCTTTGCTCTCATGTGATCTAAATGCAAAAGGAGCATCCAGATACCATCCTCTGTGCTTGTTCCTTTTGACAAAGTAGTTTTTGCATTGCAAACTGTTGCCGATTGCTTAATGACATATTTAAGATGCTGCTGTATCCAAAGAATCAGATCGTGTACCATGGGTTCAGAAAGATGCTTCTTTGCTTGTTCAAGTAATTTATCTTTCACGTCCATACATTGGGCCCTTGTAAGCTGGTCTGAGCTAACAGAAATATCTGGTAGAGTGGATGGATAATTGACTGGTAAATGAAATAACAGCTTTAAAAGTACATCTGTATCCAGCAGCTCTTTCACGCTGATTTGAATTCTAAATGTGATTCCATGCGTCTCTGGAAAGTATCAAAAAATAAACATTAATAGTTTGCTTGAAGTTGAAATACATATATATTACTAAGTCATGTTATTTTCTTTACCGATTCAACTCAAACGACTGCCATTCTATATAAAATAAGGGGGGTGGGGTTTTTTGCGGGGTGGGGAGTTGCAACCAATGGCTCAAGCTATACTCGCAGGGAATCCTGAAATGAAACACTTCCATATCATACTAGAATGAAAGTTATTAACACATTCTAAAAAGCATTCACACCTTTTGGCTCTCTCAAAGCCTAGACAAGCCAGTAATAAAGAATTGTCTCTCTTTTAGAAACACCTAAGTCAGCTTCTACAGCTCAACAGCAGCAGCAAGGACAACCAAAAATACAGGCTTTTCTGGATGGGCTCAGCACTGCCCTAACTTTGCTCCTACAGAGATCTGTAAGACTTCTAACATCAATACCAGTGCAAGGCAAATAGACTTGTACTGAGCATTTTTTAAGACAACCATTCAAAAGCAGTTCCACACTAAAGACAGATTTGGAAAGAAAAAAAGTCAGATTCTTTGTCCCCAACAACTTTCAGAGAAAATATGCTTAATTCTGTTCTGCCAACTTTTCTACATTTACAACAGTTGGGTTGACATAACGAAAACATCTCTGTTGTACATCTGACCCTAGATACTACATACATACGTGTATATATACGTATATACTTATATAAATGTACATGTGTATATCTGCGTATCTACTCAAAAGCTCTTGTTGGTCTACTTTAGAATAGAATTATTTTCTGAGTGAAAAAGATACATACAGTATGTAGCAGGAAGGGCGAAAGACCACATCCTCCTGATAAATCACATAATCAAAGATGCTGAATATGAAAGTTATGTACTGTAATTCCTGCAATAAAACCTTCTTGACTAAAACATGTTTCACAGAAAAACAAGACAAAACTTCATAAAGTGAAAAGTGGAGACAAAGACCTAACCTACTTTTGCTCCTCTGCCATGAAGAAAGAGGGTATCAGATAAAAGATTATCTTCTTCAGATGTTCTCTGCTTCACCCCTTTGATGCATTCTAAACACTTCACCCCTTTTCTTTAAAAAATTGCTAAAATGTCAGGTTGATTCATTCTATGAGGGCAGTAGAAGCCAGATTTGAAAGGCAGATTAGAGCAGAGCTGAGTTTCAGAGGAGCTCTTTTGAAGTGACTTGCCTTCTTCTCCCTCTACCTTATCTTACCTTCCTTTACATGACAGTCAGTTGAATTACGTTTGATTAGTATTGCTGACACCGCTAACCAACCTCAGTGCTCTCTATGATTTTATATTTGAACCCTACTAAATAAGTGAAAGAACCTAAAAGTGACTTGGACAGACAGAAGCACTTTAGAGAGCTTAGCGAAGGGCGTGTTACCAAACCTCCTTCCTGGGTCATATGAAGAACTCTCTAGGTCAGAGCAGTCACAAAATAAAATAAGCAAACCCTCCAAATCCAATAATCAAACTCTAGCATTACTATAAAAAAGTCTCCAAAGATCTACAAACCATCATTACCTAAACAGAGTCAAATCCAATGCTGAAAGTAGTTGACGCAAATCCAGAGAATCAAATGAAATTACAGCCAACCACGCCCATACCTACAGGCAACACATGTCAAAGCCTTGTTCCCTGCCAAAAGGAGTTGGTCTCCAGTCTTCTAAGACCCTATGAAAGGTTCCAGACTACTTTTAAGGCAATTTTATTCCTCAGAAACGCAGCAGCCTTGGCAGACTCCAGTCTCCACGGCATCCATCTGGCAGCACGTGGCCCTCACTCACGAGCAGTAGCTACGCAGGAAGACCTCAAGCCTTCCCATTCCAATCTCTGTCTTCCGCTGCCCTGACAAACATTTCTTACCGGGCACCAGCAACGATAGCTCCTCTGCCATTACACTAAGCTCGGTACACACAACCGCACACAAGAAAAAAAGCCTGCACTGCACCTCCTGGGACCCCCAGCACCCTCTTGGCCACCATGGAGGGTCTCTGCACGCACCTGAGCATCGCACCACACACAGACAGTGCCTGCCGACCCACATCCTTCCAGCTGCCCCCTACACAGGGCAGCCCCACCAGGTAGACGGCCAGCTGAAAACAAGCTGCATTTGGCTGAACGGTATTAACATTATTATATTCCTGCCTGTGAATCACTTTATTTTAAACTATGTTGCCGAGAAATTTTAAAATGCACAGCCTATAAATGAGTTGAAGAATACTACTCTATTGCCAGCTTAATTACAGTGACAGAAAACCATGTTACCTTTCTGATAATCCTCCTAGGATTTTTTCACTAGCTTGTCACAACAGATCTCACCAACTCAAAAGTAACTGAGGGATAAACAGACAGGCCAACCTTGCCCCTTCGGCAAGGGCCTCCTGCTGCAGTGATCACATTCTTAAGCCTGCAACAATCTCACACCTTTCCCTGTGATGATGAACTAATCCGAAGGAAGCAGCGCAGCCTCGCATCGCAAGGTGTATCACCCTGAGCCATCGCGAAAAGCCCAGCCGTGCTCATTTACATCTGCTTCAGACTTACTTTTAGAAAGGAGAATTGGTTCAAAACGTTTGTGGGGGCTACAGCATCTAAACTTTATTTAAACACTCCAGCATCCATTTTCTGCACCAGTGCTGCAGACGGCTGGCAGAACAAAGAGCAAACCACCGTCACCCTGCGTAACGAGGTTCTAAAGAAATATTTCCTTTGTTTGCACATGCTACAAGGTCTGAGTTGTCTTCACAGCAAAATAGTGATTATTTCTGAAATAAAAGGTTGGGTATAACCATTCTGCTCGCATTTAATGTGCTAATAAGACTAAACTCAATACATTTTAGCTCATTTCCCCCCATAGCTGCATGCTTATCAGTATATTTAGCTCTAGCATACTTCTGATTTTTTCTTATGTTCCATGTCAACCAGACAGATATCCCCCTCCTCTCCTGCCCAAAGGCATTTTATGCAACACATGCAGTCTATTTTTAAATTCAGAAAACGGCACCTACTAACGTACAAGCTTAGAATATATAAATACATTTTTATAGCAAGCTTGGTGAGCAAACCAGAAGAGAACAGATTAACAAGTAAATGATGGATTTCTATCTGTAACGCTAATCTTTGTAAACAGATATGTAAGGTAAAAAAGATATGCTGTAATTAGTTTATTTAAATTCATCAACACATTGGTTTTGATAAAAATATATTTTACATTCTGAATACTTCATTGTTAAATTCCAGAAAGCCAAAGTTTTTAGCATACCAAGAGACCTTCAAAAGCATTTTCTTACATTCCTCGAAACCATAAATCCCCAATGGCCTCCTTTTTGATCCTGTGGATCTACACGCAAATTACTCTTAATGTATTAGAGACAGCATAACTTAACAGTCTTACTGGAAGTTACTTCTGTGCACTGTTTGGCAATGACAATTTATATGGTCTGAAGAGATAAAGCAAACGTAAGCTAATGAACACAGCAAAAGTTAATTGTATACAAACTAAAGGATTCTGTAGCTCCAAGGTAAAAGAGAAGTAAATTCCCAAAGTAAGAAAACTACCAATAATCATCGTGGTAAATAATCTTGGCAGTTTCAGCAGAAAACAATGGAAATCAACCAGATATGCAGGATCCTAACATATTATAAACACAGCCTGGCTAAAGGCCCTGCAAGGTCCCATAACATCAATATAAATATAATAGCCTGTTCCCGTTGTGCACTTGTGGCACTGCACTTTATGTTCCAGGAACATTTCTAACCCTTTTACATCCTGGTAACTTATAAACACAAAATCGTTTTGCTGTATATGAAGCACAGAGAAGGATGTGCGTATATTTCTCTAACAGATTTGGAGGAACAGACGTGCATATGCAATGTTCAGATATGTTCACGTTTTTTAAAATAAACATGTGTTAAGCCTGGATACTGTATTTTCAAACTATGTCTGAAATAACATTCCTGAACTTTTTGACTTTAAGAAAATAAAACTCAGTCAAAACATTTCATCAATCGTATTTTAAAAATACAACTCTAAACACCAATCAAAAAGATAAAATGGCAGAATCACCTGCCTGCACTGGAGCAAGAGGTGTGTCATGCAGATCTAGACACAAAACAATCGCTTTCAGATTACTCCAGTTAATTGTGCTCCATGCAGACGCTAAGGTCTTCATCCCTCTGAGGCTGTTTACAAAGTCCTCTTTTCAAATAATCACTTGCTGTTCTGTGCGAATCTATTTCAACAACTATTTTCAAATAAAAGTTTGAGGTTCATTCAATTAATTTCTTAGTAACTTTTTAGTTAAAGTGAGTCACTCAAGAGCAGCCACAAGTAATTTCACACCGAAGCAGCACAACATTATTTTCACAGAATCACAGAATGCTTGAGGTTGGAAGGGACCTCAGAAGGTCATCTTGTCCAGCCTCCCCACTCAAGCAGGGCCACCTACAGCAAGCTGCCCAGGGCAACGTCCAGATGGCTTCTGAATATCTCCAAGGATGGAGACTCCACAACCTCTCTGGGCAACCTGTTACAGTGCTCAGTCACCCTCATGGTAAAAAAGCGTTTCCTTATCGATCCCAGTTCTTTGGGGCTGAATATATACGCAGACAAAATCTGACAGCAGGCCACTGGATTCATTTTTATCAGCATTCTCCAGGACATTACTGCAGTCCAAGCAGCAGGAAGCTGCTTGCAGTCTGTCGCTCCACTGGGGAGCTGGGCAGCACGCTGCAATAGCTCCCAGGACACCAGGGAACAGTGATACAGAATATATCCATATTCTCTGTGTGTGTGTATATCTCCAACAAACATGTAAGAGCGTTGTCACATTTGTGGTAGGTGCTAAGCAAAATTTACTTACACTCTAGATCTGAACAGACAGGCAACACTTGCATATCCCACCTGACACTTTTTTCCAAGCCTGAGAGCAACTGCTGTTGTATGCTGGAACTACCGAGATTGATTCTCCCTTGCTAAAGGGGCATCTTCACAGCACTGTGATGGCACAGACTGATAAAAGTCATCTCTTAAAATTATGTTCTGATCAGTGGCTACCATGGCGGGTGCAGAAAACGTGGAGTAAAGATGTCTACACTTATTGCATTCCTAGCCTACAGCATCCAGCAGCTGATGGGAGCAAGCACTACAAATCTCCTCACCTTCCCACCCGCAGCAAACGTGAAAGATTAGCCTTAGTACCCTGTAAAACCTCCAGCCATACACATATTGCTGAAGCTAGAGAACATCTGGCACATCATAAGGCCCAGATTATTACCTTACCCCCAGAAAAAGACAGAGGTGACCCAACATAGCAACAGCTGCACCCCTATTAAATATTACAGGATAAATACCTGGTCTTGTTACATGTTACATCTCATGATGCAACTGCTTATTTACCTAAATAGCAGCCAGCCCATTCCCACTGCTGCAAGTTTCCGCATGCACAGGTGCAATTAAGAAGGTCGCTAATTACAAACGAGTAGGACCCGCGAGCATTTGTCCCCTACAAAGAAGCCAGCAGCAAAGACACACGGCAGGATAGGCGAGAGGGCACCCATCTTTGCCGCTGTCGCTAAAAGCAAGCGATTAAGCCGGTGCTGCCCCGCTGGGCTAAGCCTATCCGTCAGCGGCCCCGGAGCGCCTCCCCTCGGGGCCGGGCCGGGTGTAGCGCGGCCGGGGCAGGGGCAGGCCGCCGGGGGGGGGGGCGGCCAGCCCCTGCCGAGCTGGGCGACCCGCGGTTCTCGTCAGAGGAGCGCTGTCGCCTTCACCTGAGACCGCCAGCACCTCGCAGGCGTCCGGCTCGCAGTAGATGGCGGCGAGAGCCGAGAGCTCCTCCAGCGCCAGCTCCGACATGGCCGCGGCTGAAAGCGCAGGCCGGGCTGGCGGCGGCGCC